AAAATTAATTAACAATAACAACAACTATAAATAACATTAAACCATATATTATATTTAATTTTATTCATGTGTAACTCGCGGGTCGAAGTTATTCAAACAATTGAGATTATGCAGTTATAACAGATGTATATATTATCATATAATTCAAAATAATCAATATATTATGTCAGTTTAGTATACGAATTATTATATCAAATTTAACAACAACGTTGTAGTTATATTTAGAAAAACATGTATTTGTAAACACGTCAACTATATAGGTGTTTCTGCGCAACGCGCGGGCATTCGCCTAATTATATTTATAAAAGAGACATTTTTACTTGCACCACATGCATTTGAAACCTCCACGACTTTTCAATTTTTTTTTAATAATTATTATAAATTAGTTAATAATGTTAAAATAATACAAAAATTAAATTCTAATCATAAATTAACTTAACTACAATATTAAAATATCATATTTTACTTCTATTTATAAAATTATGACTTTAACTTTTTAACATATTATAGTTAACTTATTAGTTTAGATATGTTGTCGAGCAATTGCCATTTTAAAATCACAAATTTTGTATAATTTATGATTTTGGACGTGTTCGGCACGGAGCGTTTTGGAGCGTTTGAGACCTTCTAGCTTCTAATGTTTGACAAAACGCTCCGTTTTAAACAGAAAACCTTGTTTGGCACTACAAGCTTGTAGCGTTTAGTTTAATCAAAACGCTCCAAATCCAAATGTTACTTCATGTAACTTTTAACAAAACGCTACAAATTACAAGCTACCCGCTACCCGCTACAAGCTACCCGCTATCAGCTAGTTTTGCCGAACACACCCTTTATGCAACATAGTTAAATTATTAATTTCAGTATAATGTTAAACGATTAACTTAAATCAAAATTTCAGTTAAACTTGAAAAAATCGAGAAAATATTTATAAATAGTTAAAAGTTATAAATTATAGTGTTAAACCTAAATTGTAATCCTAAATTAAAAAAAAACATGAAACTATTTTTTATAATCATTAAGAATTTTCAAATAAATAACTTAAAAATAACTTACAATAAAAATAGTTAAAAGTAATATTATATAAAAAAAATTATAATGTTATCTTTAAAAACAAAAACAATGTTTGTTGTTTTAAATAATTACAATAAAAGAAACTAACAATATTTATCAAATAAATTTTTAAAAAGTTAAATTTCTAAAACCAAATTAAAATAATTAAGAGTTTCAAAATACATTATTTTAAATAACTTACAATAAAAATAGTTAAAAGTAACATTATATACAAAAATTATATTGTCACATTTGAAAACAAAAATAATGTTTGATGTTTTAAATAATTACAATGATAAAAATTAAAATCTTATGCAAATAAATTTTTTTAAATTAATTAATCATAATAACAAATATAAGTATCATTAAACCATATATTATATATATTTTTATTAATGAGTAACTCGCATATAGAGGTCATTGAGACAATATAGATTATATAATTTTAAAAGATATCTACATTATCATATAATTCAAAACAAACAATGTTTATATCAACTTATTATAAGATTTATTATATAAGAGCTAATAACGACGTCAATGATATATTTAAAAAACATATGTTTTATAAATAGTTTTAGTATATTGTTGTATTATGTGCAACGTGTAGGTATTCGCCTAGTTTAATATATTTAATAAATTTTTATTTTACTTGTCATCATTTAACAGTGACAGTCAGGACGACGGATAAAAATAATATATAAAATGATATTTAATTTCTAATTAATAATTAAGTGCATAAATAAAAAAAGCAAGAATCATAAAAGCAAATCTACAATATAATCCAATCGTGTACTTGTAGTTTGACCAAGGCATTGGCAATTAATGAAAGCTTTAACCGATGAAATAAACAACGACAAAAATTGTAAATTAAGTCAAGGTCAAATTTCGACAACCCACATAAATCAAAGGGTGAAATTTGTAATACTCGAAAAGAAGAAAAAGAAAGCTGGAAATCAAAGTCACGAAGATTAAAAACAAAAGGTTTATGGAGAGAGATAGGAGAGAGAGAGAGAGAGAGAGAGAGCTTGAGGGGTTTGTTCTTCGAGTCTTGACCTTTCAAGACACAGCATCTTTCTTTTGATTCTTTCGTTTCAATACACATCTATTCAGGGATATACAAACTTCACCACATATGGTTGATTAATTTAGGGTTTAATGTGTGTGGGTGTGTGTGTCAGAGAGAGATAGACAAAAAGAGAAGGGTAAAGACCAGAGAGAGAGAGAGATTCAATTTATTGATCCATCAAGAGAGCTTATCTTATCATCATCATCATCATCATCATCAACTTCATCTTCATCATCAATTCTCAATAACCGAACCCCATTTACACCTGAAAGAGGCTGAATGAGTATAAGTAAAAGAGAATTGCGAAGGAAGTAAACAAGAGTCAGTTCATTGATTCATCAGCAATCGGCTTAAATATATATCATTCAAATCAACCCCAATCAACAACCTTTTACCCATTTCGATATATTCACAGGTAGTGTTTATGTGTGGGTTTTTTGCTTTTCTTAGTTGCGTGCAGTCAAACATGGGTTTTCGTTAGTTTGTTGATTTGGGTTTTTGCAAAATTAGATGTTCATGAGATTTTTGAACGGCAAGCCGTTCAATTGATCAATGTGTTTTTGGTGGAAGTATATGAAGATGGAGATAGAGTGTGTGCTATGGTTTTTGTCTCTTCATCTTTGCGCAAATCAAATTGGATTTTCCGTTTCAATTGTTTCTTGAAACGGGTTTCTCGAATTGATTTCACCAATAAGGTTTTTGTGCGAAAGCGTGAAAAAAACTTGAATTTTGTTTTACCCTTTTGATCTGGGAATTGGGATTCCTCCTAAATCACAGATTCACACAGTGTGTGAAAAAATGGCTAACAACAACCATAGCAAGAACGAAATACCACCAACTGAGGAGCTCTTAAAGAAGATCCATGATTTAGAACAAAGCCACGCTCATCTCAAACAAGAAATGTCAAAGCTAAAAATCTCCGACGACCAACAAAAATCCGAACGTCAAAGGTCCAGTTCAGTATCTCCACGCCGCCCTCGCCGGAAACACATGGGTGGTGCAAGCGGGATGTTCGAGGGCGGCGCTGTAGCCGCCTTCAAGATGGGTTCAGCATCTTTCCGCCATTCCTCACCATTAAGAAGAGAAACTCGCAGCGTTGACGTTAGCTACAGCAACGATCACAACCATAACACCTCCGCCACATCCGCCGCCGACGGCCCTTCAGCTGTGAAGCTAACGGAAACACAATACTTGAATATATTACAATCAATGGGTCAATCTGTGCATATATTCGATCTCAACGGCCACATAATCTACTGGTGAGTCAACGATTTCAATTTCTTCCTCCAATTTTTATTCAATCTCATGATCATATCATTATGATACAGGAATCGTATGGCTGAAAATCTGTATGGATACACATCTTCTGAAGCTTTAGGGAAAACAGCCCATGAGCTTCTAGTAGATTCCAACGATTACACATTAGCTGAAGCTATTTTACAACGAACAGCAAAAGGGGAAAGCTGGTCTGGTCAATTTCCAGTTAAAAACAAATTAGGGGAAAAATTTATCGTTATGGCTGCAAATACACCATTTCGTGATGAAAATGGAATCCTAATTGGTGTTATATGTGTATCAAGTGATACACGCCCATATCAAGAAATGAAGCCATTAGCAACAATCAGTGCTCCAAGAAGAATCGCTTCAGCTAAACTTGGACTCGATCCTCAACAACCTTTACAAACTGCAATCGCCTCAAAGATTTCAAATCTGGTCAGTTATTCACTTAATGAATATTGTGAAATTTCTTTCTTGGAATGTTGTAAGTTGAGACGGTTTATTCCATCTTGACTTATGTTATGTATACAACATTTTGATAAAAACAACAACCCCTTCCTTATTCCAAGTTATTATGCTGTGAAATGTCTAAAATACCCTTTGTAAAAAAAAAAAAAACAAACAGGCTACAAAAGTTAGCAACAAGGTGAAGTCAAAAATGAAACCGGGAGAAAACTTCACGGATCATGAAGACTCGGATCACAAAGAAGATGGATATTCAAGTGGGGCAAGTACTCCAAGAGGCGATCTTCCTCAATCACCATTTGCAGGAGGATTCTCTTCAAAAGACCAAATTACCGGAAAGCCCTTGGGAGATTCAGGTGACGAGGGTGAAAACAAGCCCGGGATCCACAAGCTTCTATCTTCAAAAGCGGAAGCATGGATGGGCAAAAAGGGAATTACATGGCCATGGAAAGGAAACGATAACCGAGAAGGCGGGTCGGATCCAAAAACGGGTCGTTTTGGTTTGCATTGGTTACATAATAATAATAATGATCAAGAAGTACATGAATCTGGTCAACAACCAAAAGTAGAAAGTCAACCGTGGGAAAATATGAATCGAAATGAGGCTTCAGGGTCATGGTCTTCTTCTTTTAATGTTAATAGTACAAGTAGTGCAAGTAGTTGTGGAAGCACAAATAGTAGTGCTATAAATAAAGTGGATGTGGACACTGATAGCTTGGATTATGAAATATTATGGGAAGATTTAATAATTGGTGAACAAATTGGACAAGGTATTATAATAATAGAATGTTTTTAATTACTACTTTTTGTTAAAGGGTGACAAATAATGGAACATTTATAGATTTAAGTATTATTTTATTGAAATTTTTGCTTTTCTAATTTTTTACATATATATATATATATATATATATATATATATATATATATATTTTGACAGGTTCATGTGGGACGGTATATCATGCATTGTGGTATGGATCGGTATGTTCTTTATCAATATTGCTATAATTACCATTTTAGGTCCTAATAATGTTTCTTGTTTATTGAAGGCATTTGACAACTACTAAGTGTTGCTATTATTAAAAGTACTCCAAATGAGAATAATGGGAAATATGTAGTTGCAATAAAATATTTATTTGGATGATGTGATATTATTATTTTGTAATTGAAGGGTATTATAGACATTTAACACATGCTTATGAATGCAGGATGTTGCTGTCAAGGTTTTCTCAAGACAAGAATATTCAGACGATGTGATATTATCATTTCGACAGGAGGTAATTTTCCCTCAAATAATATCAAAATAAAAGAATTTTCTAAAATTTTGGTAATGTTTGAGTATTTATCGATTGTCTAAAATACCGTTTAACAATGACAAAACAAAACAATCTTTAGAATTTTCAAGAGACGTCCAAAAATAGAAATAGACATTAAAAATGAGAAAATAAAACAATCTTTAAAATTTTCAAGAGACAAAATGAAACAATCTTTAAAATTTTCAAGAGACAACATCTAATTAATTTAATTTTATAATTTTATTTATTCAAAGGTATCTCTCATGAAAAGACTTAGGCATCCAAATATTCTCCTCTTTATGGGCGCTGTAACCTCACCTCAACGTCTATGCATTGTCACAGAGTTCCTTCCCCGGTATGTATAATTTACCATTTACATATTATATAT